AAAACGATCAATAATGAACGAAATTTTGTAGCCATTTTTTAATGATTTCACCAATAAAACAATCATGCTTTCGTCTGATAGAAAGTTTTATATAATTGTTGTTTTAAGGCATATATACAGCAACCATGAATAGTGTTCATTGATCTGCAGTCAACAATTTTGCTATGACCGTCATTACTACGTGATAAAGTGAAGGAATTGTTGAAGGTAAGAGAGATTCATGCATAATTATAATCACCGTTAATTGAAGAAGATGCAAGAGAAAAATCTAACAACTGTACCAGAAAGTTCGTACTTAATGAGAATTTCACTAAGACGAAATGTGCTGGTGTATCAAATGGGGAATGCGATGTTGAGTGTGTTGAAGAATGTAACGAATATAAGAATGTCAAGCGTGTTCCTCAAACAACCCAAACCAACAGCAGTGGCTACAACATCTAATGTACTCACATTCTGCTGCTCTTCAGCTGAAACCATACACACGTACATCATTTGTATATGCATGAACGACCATTGCAAGCGAATCAATGAAGTAAATTCATGCTCGCATGCATGCGTTGATACTTTATCAAACAGCTTTTATCCATAGCTTTCTTTGCACTCACCTTCCCAATTTTAATTGCATTAAATGCACAAGAAGATAGACGACCTGGTCGGCTGGTCTCATCAAAATTTCGATTTCGTTTGCAGTTCAAAATCTGAAGTTTTAAAATCATAATTTCGAGTTTCAAAAATGAAATTGGAAATTAAAAACATTTCTAGATTTGAAATCGGAATATTTCGGTACCAAAATTCGAAATAATTTGAAATAATTAGAAACAAATCGAAATTATTCTATAGAAGGGCAGGATTTGTCCCAAATCTATGAAACTGCACTGAATATTCTTCGAACTCCTGCAGTTAAATAGTTCGAATAAAATAGATAGCTCAATAAAATAGATAGTTCATTCACAATAAAACAGTTCTCCTCAAACAAAATATGGAAGGCTGAGGTTGAGGCATAACTCCACGCTCTTCCAAGTCTCAGGAGGCTGAACACTGAAGTTAGGTTGAGGCCCACAGACGGGATAGGGCCGAGTCTCATCATTTAGATCGATTGAGGCTAACACATCTGTGGCTTAGATTGAGGCTTACCACAGTGCTTAGACTGCGATTTACAGGTTATCAGAGGACACAGGTTGGAATTTAACTCAGATTTAGTTCGAGGCTTATCCCATGCTCAGACTCATGAAGTGGTAAGAAACTACTCTGCGACTTGACTTGGGTTCAGGCTGAGGCTCACCAAGGTTGAGGCTCACGATGGAGCTCAAGATGATGTTTCATCGAGGCAACGCTGAGGCTCACCAAGGGACTCAAAGTGGGATCTACCTTACGCTCAGGCTAGGCTTAATCCACGCTCAGACTGAGGTTCATCATGAAACATCCGCTGAGATTCACTCCGGCGAATTAGCAACAGGGTTGTCTCAGGCTCACCCTGGCTTACAATAAATGTTGCCAAGGTGTTCAAGGTGATGTTGATCCCCGAGCGGAGTCTGATACTTGTCATCGGCTCAGGTTGAAGCTTGCAACAGCGTCCAGGCTGAGGCTTTCAGCTACGACTCACCACAGGACGTAATTTCCTCTTGGCTCAGCCTTATACTCGTCTACGATGGAGCACACCATGGTGTTCCAAACACCACTTATATAATTCTCTCGTTTGCAATTGACGAATTGCAGTTTGAAAAGATTCTGTCAGTGTTTCGTCCCCAATTCGAAATTTCGAACTTTTTGAGTAATTTCATGAAAATTTAATTTCTGAAGTGAAATTCTGAGGACAGCAAAATATAATTTCAATTTCGATTTGACTCGAAATAATTCGAAAGAATTCAGAACATTCAACGGGGCCTCTGAAAGGTCATTAATGAGGCGTCAGGAATGCATGCATCATGTCACAGAATACGGTTTTCGGACAGTGATATTTTTTTTGGTTCGTTCAGTGCAAGCATTTTTTATTCGAAGAAGAATGCAAAACGATTTGCAGATATTTGCAATTTGAGTTGATCAAGTGTAACAGAAAAAACCCGCATGCTTTGGCGAATGTTGAAACTTTCGCCGTTTCATTGACAAGCAATCTCACCTTTCCTCTGCACGCTTCTGCGTTGACATCATTGCTTTTCGTAAATATAATGATGTGCTCTGTTAATATCCTAAACCAATTTTCGATGAAATTATCGCTCAGTTCAACTCGCCGATCACAATTTCATCTCCAAATTTAATTAACTGAGCGAATCGAAACTGTCACGCTTGCATAACTAAACTGCATTGGAGTGCAGCTAACACGGATTTATCTAAATAAACGCAAGCCGTTTATGCACATTCTTCATGTTCTAATTTTTTGCTTGCTAGCTAATTCAAATTAATCAACAATTCGATACTAAGGTGTCATATTCAGGCATTTATGATATCACCAGGTTTTTTAGAATACAATAAGATCAGAAATTAATTGCGAATTTTTTCAAACCTTTCGAATATATACATTTGAACGTATGAAAGCAATGCGATGATGTAATTCATTCCTCGAAAGAAACCTTAACTCCTCTTTTCTCGACGGGACTTTTTTCGTACGATAAAATGAACGACATAATAATTTATTATCGATAGTCACAATCAGTTGGACTTTTTGTGGAGCACAGCAATTTATGCTGAACAGATGCAAATTTGAAAATTAATTGACGTTAGTTTGTATCCAACGAAAAGACGACCTCTTTTGAATGTTTTTATTCTGTCCTCGCTTACTTTCGAGTTAAATTATGAGAACACTTTGACAGTTCATTTAGGAACACATCATAAATGATTGGTTTTGTATCTAATTAAGGATGATTTTTGTCGAAGCTTTCTTGATGCATACGCTTTAACAGCATTCGACTCGCTCACATCAAAGCATCCGTTTCATTTTGTGTTAAAGCCGTTGACGAGTGAATCATTCATCGAAGCAATAGATGCAAATCATTACTCATTGTCAGTGTGATTTTTGCTGACTTCAGTTCAATGCATCTGCAATTGATATTTTTTGGCATTTTTTTTCGATCAAATAAAAATTGTTCACATTAAAATCAATAAAGATAAACTTACGAAGTCAATAAATGTTTAATTCAAAAAATAAGATAATTTCTGTTGCGTTTTATGACGCAACGATTTTCTAAAATTCAGTCGTTTGAAAACACGTTTTGATAGAATCATGGATTCTTATAAGACAAATGAACGCCACATGTAGAAGCTTATGAGTGAGATGGATTTCATCAAAACATTTCATTAATAATCCGAGATCGTTTCAAAGAATTTGCAGTTTATTGATTCACAACGCTGCCTGCCGCAAATTTCGTATTTTGCAAATTTTGTGTATCAGAACATAGGCCGAGCGAGCCAGATTTCAACTGCATCAATGGCAGTTTTTTTCTTGAGTTTGTTTAATACTTTCCAGCTGTTACCAATGCTTGCTTTGATAGCCTTCAAAATATTGTGGAAGAGTGCAAGTTGCACTGTACCGACGATATGCAACCGATCATATGCATTCATTCACTGACAAACTTTTTAAGAAGCAATCACCCGGGATTCGTATAGCTTCTTGGGTGGAATGATCACCCGAAAACAGTGTTAATAAGTTGCGCTCACACAGAATTTTTTGTCTTACTGTCCACATTCAAATGTAGTTACCATGCACCGATCAACACGAATCTGAAAATATGTTTGGAAGTTGAATGGCTAGTTCATGTTTGAAAATCTGTGACTTATTCACATTTATATGCTGATTATGTTTTGATATGTGAGTGATCCAACACCAAGAAACAACAACAGACTGAAGTAGAACGATTTGAATTGGTTGAAAAAAAAAAGGATTCGCAATGATGATAGTAGAGAACAACATAAGGCGAATGCTGATGAGAGTACGATGGTGACCTAGACAATCTTTGATCAGTCAGCTAAATGCAAAGCAAATGTGATCCTTTGATTGGAAGATGAAACAGAGAAGAGATGCAATGTGATGGATGGATGGATGGATGGATATGATAGTATCTGCTGTCTATCTCTATCTGTGCAAGTGGATGTTGAACAATCCGACTTATGGTTAGGCACTGTGGATGTTTATAGACGTTGTTTCTTAGCTTATGAGCGTATCAGTGCTAATCTTATTTTAACAGCAATCACCACCACATCAACTACAAATACTTATTTTAGTGCTATTCAACTCATCATGTCATGTAGTTCGTTGATCCTGATCACAGCTGTCGCTGTCATCGGTAAATTTCATTCACTCATTTATTCTATTTGGTTTTCACGTTTTTTTTTGACTGCAGTAAACCTCACTTCCAGATCAAGTTCTTCATGCTAACAGAGATTATTCCTTCTCCATTTGAAGAGAGACCGAAATATTAAGTTCAACATTGTCCCGTACAGTTCTGATAAGCTTTCTCATGCATATTTTTTGTTTACCAATAATGCCAAATGAAAGTTTCTGTTAACTTTCATTCATTCATTAATTTTTTAGCGAAGCTTTTCTAGTCATAATTTGCATTCGAAAACGCGTTCAATAATTAAAAGATCAATCTGATTATAACGATTTTATTGCATAGCGAACGCATGAACTACCCTTAACGTTCTAATATCAATTTGCACGCATGAATTATTTTTGTGGAAAGGATTTTTGATTCTCTAGCAGAATATTGTTTGATGAGCAATTTTTATACAACATCAAAACATTTCCGCCACATAGGTTGCTGTCTTATCAATTTCTGCTGCAACAACGTACTTTATTCACTTTTGCAAAAATTCATCGCCATGACTCATCAAGTCAACTATTGCCTTCGGAGTTAATAACACCTTAAATTGTAAGAAAGCTGTGATCATTTCTGTGCATTCACAAACAACAGCAATTGAATGATTGATTGGAATAAAACAGCAATTCTCAATGAAATGATTTCGTTTCGCAAATTGAAGCATGTGTCGACGGTAGATTATTCGGAATGACCTGCGAAAATCATCCTGAAATGCTTTCGAATTGGTCGAAATGTGTCATTCCACAAGGTGACTTGGCAGATGGTATCAGCAATTTTCTTCGTGACGTTAAAGATCACGGTTGTAAGGTATTATTTGCACGCAATTTCTTATTAATTGCATTGCATTAAACCAAACCTGTCAGTTAACTGAATTCTAGTAAAGGTCAGTGAGAATGATCAGGTCTCGAAATGAAATCCAACCGAAAAACGCCTTAATTAGGACGGTAGAATTTGCAATATGCTACCAGAAATGATATTTGACTACTTTTATGCATTGAATTTGTAATTTATCGAAACCTACGCTGTTTCTCTTAGAGAGACAAGGCTGAGGAACGCATCGCTGAAGAAATATTCGTTAGTGAATGTGATAATAAATCTTTCGAAAAATTTTATTTTGGCTTTTTTGACAGTTTGAAATAACACGGAAAAGATAACGGTAACTGACAGTTTCATGCGTTTGCAGTTACCACCAAGAAAAGTGTTGAAATTCGCATTGGGTTTCTTACGAAATCACACGGGTAGCTACATAAATCATCCACTTTATAAGCGAGTGCCGTCAAGTAACTGTGGAAAATGTGCACGTCGCGTTCGCTGCTGTCGGTAATCTAATTCAGTTCTTCAACAGATCTGTAGTATCAACTCATAAGAGTTGCTGTGATACATACCAGTTATTTTCTTCAGTTCTCAGAATTCGAATTTGCAATTAAAAGTTACATTGTTTACAAATTCACATTCAATTCGCAACCTCCCTCTTGAAAACCACTTCAGAGTTGCTTGAAATCTAAAACTGCATGTCATATAAACCATGCAAAAAACACTTTCTTATCGATGATCACGAAGGATTCCGTAAACGAGATATCGACTTTATTTTAAGTCGATCAAAGTCATTTTTGGCGCAGTCTTACGAATCGGAAGAATGCGCTAATCAGCTACGTCCGTGTATGCTCGAGCCGCTCACTGAAAACGACATTGCTGAGCTAAATGTGAGAATTTAAAATTCACTGAAGCGTTTTAGTGTCTGATTGTGAGCAAAACAATTACTTCTAGTATGTTCAAAATGGACGGATGGATAATTGTCCATAGAATAATCATTCATTTTGTGATCATTAATCGCTATTTCCGAGATTTTGCTGAACGTTCGGAATTTACCTCATCAACGAAAATGCATATTGATTAGCAAAGAATTTTGCTGTAATAAACATGATTTTGTTTCTCTCATAAACTAGATTGTTTATTTTGCATACGCATTTCACAGTAGGCAGATGAAATTGGAGTATTTTAGATTGTTTCATTTAACGCAAAAATTATTCTTTGCTTCTCTTGCGTTGAAAGTGAATCTTTTCCAACAACTTCTCATCATGCAATCAAATTGAATTCATCCATATTCATATAAGGGAATATGCTATAGTCTTTTTAGAGAATACCACAATTAAGCAATAGTTCGTTCTCATCGATTTTAATTAGCGTTTTCTCTGTGCTACTAATCCATCAGTCCATCCATTCATCCATCGAATTTAACTTTTCGCATTTGCAGAGAATGTATCCTGGAGCCACAGCGCCAAGCGACGGTTGTGACGTATCGTCGTATATTAGAGCCGAACTGCAGATACTCAGTAATGGTCCTGCGTTTCAATACGTTGAACCGTTACTTTGTCAAGTGGTTGGCACCAAATTTCCCTCTGTAAATTGCGTTCGTGAAGGCGCCAAATGTGCTTGTTGTTGTACATTATTTCAGCCAGGTGCAAACAGCAGTTGCGTTCCACTCGAAAATCAAGATGTGATGTTTAGTTGCAAACGAGACAACTAATTTATTTGAGTTATGATTTCAATTTCGCAATATCTGCTCTAAAAACGACGATGCAATTGTGCCGATATTTGTGTTGATTCTTGATGTACACAACTTTGCGTTGTGTACGAATGTTTTACGTTTGAATAAGTTGCAACGCGTAGAAGGCTCTAAGCTTCAGTATGGAAAAGCATTTAACGCTTCAACATACACTTTTTATGTGGTTCAATTATGCGACGAAAAAAAATTGATAAATATCTTCTGAAAGCCTAGAAAAATCGTTTTGTTGCCTTATTTGCATGCAGTATACTCGCATTAATCTTTTCCATATGATGATTTATTGAAAATCGGGCATCTTGGCTAACATATTATCACGCGAATAAATATTATAATTATTTGAATTCGAACAAAAATAATACCAAATCCAATTTGTTCTCATTTAACGATTTTATTCACTTCATGTTTAGTTGAACTACTGTTATAATTGACTACTTTCAGCAGTCTATGCAACTATCAAATGCCTCAGAACAATACCAGAATTCGTTTATATCTAATCATAAGTGAGAAATTTATTCATCTTTGAAGCTAATATCACGCGCCACATATCTTTCGTAGAACTCTGCAGAGAATAATGCTGATTCACTTTGACACTGTAGGTACCGAGAAAAAGCTTTCATGGAAAAGACAGAAGCCAACAGATTTTATGTTGGATATTCGACTGTTTTCAAGAATTCTTATGGCAAGGCAAGTTCCACCTTAAAAACTCCAATTTCAAAGTACGTTGTTAGTGAGTGTCAATTTGTGAAGTGATTATAATTTCGGTTTCAACAAAACCAGCTTCGAGTTGTCAGGATTAATGAGACTATCATATTGACTGAAACTGCGATTGACTTTATCCATGCATTTGAAAAAGATGCTATGGATTGGCTAAAAGGTAGTGAAAGTGGTCACTAAATTATTTATCGATAGCAAATATTTGCAAAGCATTTGTGAATTTACGCTTATTCAGATGCACATCATGAACAAAACGTTCTTTGTAATTCATCGCCAACAATCTTTTTGATGTTCTACAATCGATTGATATTAAGGATTCACACACCAACTGACGATCTTTGGGTGACATTATGAAAAGAAGATTTAAATAACTCTATATTCTGCAAGAATTGTTGGAATACCCGTATATATTTGCTGGGAAGTTTCAGTTTAAAAGTGCAATGTATGCATCGCTTCATATTCGCATTGCATGACTTCAGTTTTCTCTGCAGTGCATAAGTATACGAGCCTAAAGTTATCGAGTCTTACAAAAGGAACGTTCACTAGCTATTGTGCTGTCTGAAATGAACATCATGTATGTGCTAACCAAAACTTATGAAAATGGCAATATCAACTCCGTAATCCTCTGAGAATCGACGGAAAAGAATGGTAGCAAATTTGTTGATTCGAAGGGTATGCAAGCTGAAGTATCACAAACAAGGCGTTTATTACGTATACAAGTTTTTTTTGGTAATGGAAATATTGCCAGGAAACTCAAAAGGCGTTTATTTAGCCACCGAATCTTATCAATGATGCTGTGTGGATGTGAAACCTGAGCCGTGACAAATGGGATTGAGAATGTGATTGTGGTCGCATAGAGAAGGATGGAAAGAGCAGTGATGAGCACACTACTGAAATGTGCGATAAGTCAGCAGAAAGCGAATGTCAAGTCAAATCGAACATCAGTTCAAGTGAATTCAAAGTTAAGAAAACGTATAATCAAGAATAACCCAAAATAAAGAAAAATAATGTCTTAGTTAACGTCAAGCCAATAACACTGTCAACTAGATCAAACGAGATCCATCCAAGTCTTAGTCAAATAAAAAGAAAAATAAATCACTTCCGCGCTAACGTTAACTCAAGCCAAATTTATACAAACTGATGCAAACGTTGAGTTAGACAGGTTCATTTCAAGCTATTGTAAGGCAACTTAAGGCAATCTTTGCATTAAGTCAGGATGAGGGTTTGCAAAATCCCGACGATTTTTCAATCCTGGGATCGGGATTTAATCCCGGGATCGAACAATTATTGAATTATCGATGCGGGACATGTTTCAACACATTTTTTCGAACCAATATGTTCATTATTAGTCAGAAAAGAGCTAAATCAACAAATTATTGAACAAATCCAAGGAACTAAGTATTCAAATTCAAATTAATATTTCAAATAATGATGCCAATGATCATG